CCCTCCCCCCCCCTTTGCTTCAATCAGACAGGGGAAGGAGTTGAAGTAGAGTGGATTGGTGTTAGAGCAGAGAGCAGTTTGGAGAAGTGCTGTGGTGGGCTAAGAAGACCAAGATCCTAGGTAAAGGGACACCTGGCTTGTGCAGAGGGAGGGCAGGAGAGGGAAGTAGCCCAGGGGAAGGAACTGCTAGTTCAAGTGGTTTACTGCTATCCCTAGGGCCCCTGGGCTGGGACCTGAAGTACAGGGCGGGCCTGGGTTCCTCCCTCTCCACTCCCCTCCTCTAGGACACTAGTGGGGTAGTTAATATCCCAGTTCAGGGGCAAGAAATGGTGCCCTGAACACCCCCCCCCCCCAAGAAGAGAGTGTGAGACCCATCATAGTAGTGCCGGCAATTTGCCACATGGCAAAACAGAGGCATTACCCCCATACTTTCTGTGTGTTTGTTCTATAGGCAGGCCAGGTTTCAATGGCTTCTACTTTTTAAGGGTTTAGGGGAAATTATCCCACTGTTCAGTTATTAAATTCATGAGGTGATGTACCTCCGTTTCCCTTCTTATACAGCAGACCAGGTTTGTAATGTTTTTTCTGCTGTGCTAAGCTTGAAGTTTATTCATAGGTAATAGCTGAGAAGCATCATTACCATATGACCTTAAAGGTGTAGGGGTGTGTGTGTGGTTGGTTTTTTTGTCCCGCCCCCCCCCCAAAAATCATACACACTATACATTGTTACAGGGGTACTTATTAACATTACATTTATCCCAATGTTTAATGCTAACAATGACATTAGCATCAAATCTATTCAAGGTATCTTGTTATCCCATGAACTCTATCCTTGGGGTTTGGGTGAATTAAAAGGTAGGATGCCATGCATATAAGCAGACCGCTTTTGTACCTGTCTCCAGATTTCAGCCCTGTGCATAGTGCATTTTTCTACTTAGGGTTAACCTGTCCCTCTCTTATTCTTCGGTTTGACTCCTTTTTCCACCTTCCTCTGGACTGGAGGGTCAGAATTGAAGCCTTTTGGTTTCAGGTAGTTTGTTTGCTGACCAAGTACGTCCTTTATCTGCAGCCCCTTTGTGCTGCCAATTATGGGCAGTTCTCTCCTTCCTCTATCAGCGAGGTAATTTGCATTAACACAGACGCTTTCCTGCTGGCTTTTGGATCCAAAGCCATCAGCAGAGCTCAGAGACTCTGTCTTAAAAGGGACACAATCAACTTCCATCCGAGTTTTGATTTCTTTCTACTTTCAGCTCCTGCTTCCAAAACACACAGTGATCTGAAAAAGAAAACACAACCTCTTGTGGCTCCCTTTGGAGCCCTAAAAGGATTTTAATTAAGTAGGATGGTATGTTTGCATTTCTCTTACCCCTTCTACAATAGACACTGCACATGGCCTGGGAAAAAGGCACATTTCTTCCATAGTTTAACTTCTATGACATTATATTAGCCAGATCCATCTTTACATAGGGTGTAACTGTTTCTTTTGTGTTCAAAGAGTTTTCATGGACCTTTATCGAAGTGACAGTCTTAGGGTTACCATATCTACAAAATAAAAAAAGAGGACCCTCCACGGGCCCTGGCCCCGCCCATTTCCCACCCCCCAGCCCCGCCCTAACTCCGCCCCTTCCCCGCCCTAACTCCGCCCCCTCCTCCCTCCCACTCCCAGCCACGGGGAAAGGGCTGCCCCAGCGCTACCGGCTTCACGGTTTGCCGGGCAGCCCCCAGACCCTG